TTCCTGCTGCCAAAATCTGTGAAAAGTCTTTGAAAGCTGCAGGAGGAAGACTTACTTCAAATAATAAATAAAATAAAGACAAATTATTCAGTGTTCTAATGGACATTTTGGATCAGTGAGAAAGAAATATTAAATAGCTGTGGAAGATATGGCAGTTGCAGGCAGAGTTCATCCCTCTTTAAAATAAATGCTTCTTTCTTTCCCAAGTAGCGGTGTTTGCCCACTATTTCAGATATTAAATATTTATATTTAGTAAAGAAATTATGGTATGTTGCACATTGAGAAGACATTCACTTGAATTTGATTCTTCCATTACTTATCATTTGTAAATGTGCTTGTTTTATTACACCTAAAATTCTCTGAATCTTTCAAAAATTTTTCCTTCAATATGGACTGGATCTCCCTTGAAACAGTTACTTATGTATATGCAAAATTATTTCCTTAAATTTAAGTATGAAACAAGCCTTTTTTTATCAGAGGTATGATAACATGGCCTTTGCAATCCACGGATTTGGATTTCCAATCAATTTCTGGTGCATTTCTTCCTTTTCTGTAATTTCTGCCCCTCGATTTCTCAATTTTCTTGTCTCAGTGAGCAAGCACAGTTTTTCAGGCATGTGCTATGCAGTTAATGTGTAAACAGTTTTAAACGTCTGTGGTTTAAATATCCATTAATGGATTTTTAAATAGGTAACTCTCTGCTCTGTGACATCTGTATAGGTCTTAATAGCTGTTATACTCTAATTGTTTTGAGACCTCCACAGAGCGCACATCCTCACTTCCTTCAGTTCTAGTGGAAAGAGTCCATAATTTATGTGAAACTGTTAAATTCTTAAAAGCTAAATGAAAAAAAACAAACCAGCACAACATAAATCATTGAATCATAGAATGGTTTAGGTTGGAAGGGATCTTAAAGATCATCCAGTCCAACCCCTGCCATGGGCAGGGACACCTCAAAAGCCTCTGTGGATTTGGCAGAAGTGTTTAAAGAAGAGCTTTAAACATCTCTCTGCCTCCTTTCTTGTATGTTGGTATGGGTGCAGTAACCAGTACGTCCATATTTGTGCTGTTTCAGTGTTTGAGAGAATCCAAATGCTCTGGTAGCATCATTCTGGATTTGCATAGACAGTATAAATGACAGTATATCTTAATTAAGCATTTAATTCAGAGTGCAGTGAGTTTTTTATTCCAGATGCCACACACAGCACACAAACACCGTGCTGCAGCTGCTGCAGCTTTCCAGGGAATGTGCAGCACATTTTTTTTGGAGGGTCTGTTTATTCAAGAGAGGCACCTATCAGAGCAGTGTAGTACATACTTAAAAGGACATCATTCTATATTTAGATGCTCTACTGACTCATTTAAGACTGTATGCAACTGGAAAACAATTAGCAGAGAAGTGTAATCATGGCATTAGCTCAGTGTATTTATTTAACTTGATAGTTAATGTCTGCAAGGAAGAACTGGGGAGGAGACTTGGGATGATAGGAAGTTGACGTTAAGTTTTATGGGATGCTGGGCAAGGTACTTGGGGCCATGTGTAGAAAATGCTCTTGGGCATCAGCATGATGAGTATCTTCTTGTGATCCCCCTTCAAAAATATATACTATATATCAGATTGAGATCCCTGTTAGGAAGTTGAGTGGCACTTAATGAGGCCGGTATTTTCAGAGGTTAGTCACCTGAGGCTTTTTTTGTAGTCAAAGGAGGGGACACTCCTTCAGTTTTCAAAGCTCTGAACTATTGCATTCCCTATCACTTTAGGAGATAAATCTAGAAATATCAATACTTATTAATGTGGAAGATAATGGACTATTATTTCTAAAAGTGTGACTGACAATCAGTAACATTGCTAATATTGTTAGTCATTGAGGAACTGTTAAAGTATTCATGAAGTCCACTCTTGGTTACATCTATGCTCTTTCCATTGACAACCCATCTGCAATTCATCGTAACCCTTTTCTCTCCTTTTACTGACATAGAAGCAGCAGCTCCACAGGTGGTAAAATGGATAGAAAACTGCACTTCAGCTCTTTATATTTCCAAGAGTTATATTGAAAAATCTTCTGGTTTTGTAATGCAGAAGCAGACAATGCAGATAGTTTGGGTATTTGAAGCTAGCTGCTATTTCTATTTAAAAACCCAGATCTACTCTTTAGTAATTGATGCAGACTTCAACAACTCCCCTAATGTGATAAATAGGGGAGCTGTGACATCAGCTTTAATTCTATAGGGTTGAAAGAGAAGGGCTTGCACTGAAAATTAACTGTATTTTGAAGCTGGCCTTCAAAAGAGAGGCTCAGAGCTCAGATTGTGTCGTCCTTCTCCAGCAGCATCTCATACTTGCTCAAGGACCACATGAGTCTTCTTCTACCATTCCAGATTCACTGTATGCACTCTCAAACAAAGATACAGATATTCATATTTTTAAAAAATTATTTCCATAACCCTATTTACAGAGGAATAATGTCTAGATATAATTTAAATATATAGGAAAGGCGAAATTCCTATTACACTGAAATAAAGAGAAATTTTATTCTTTAATAGGATCATGATTTCTTTTGCACACTGCAATTCTATGTAGCTCAGTGGAAAACCAGAACATTTTTATGTGTTCAGATGCTTTTCATATTTTTTGATGTCTCATTTTAGGAAAGCTTGAAGGATTCATTGGGAATTCTATGGGAATTTTGCATAAAATATCAAGGCTGCTTCAGGAGTGGGGCAGTTTTACTGAAAAAAATTAACCATTCCCTTTTCCAGCTTCTGAACATTTATATTTAGCCCAAATAAAAAGTTTTCATAGCTTTTTTCCTTGCTTTCAATTTTTAATATGCTCTAGAAGAAAAATATGTCATCTGAGGAAACTTAAATGCTACATTATTAGGAAATGGAGCTGATAACAATTAGCGTGCTTTGTGTTTCTGTTTTGGAGAGGTTTATTTTGCAGTCTGAAAGACAGCAAGCAGCAAAACAGACTCTACAAGCCATTTCCAAAAAGTGATCTGAAAAATCATATCAGCATAATCACACCTTAACCCCATTGAAGATTTCTACACAGATAAGTCACACCAAGTCACTTGGAAAGAGAACCTCCACATAAATCTTTCTGGTAGTGGAAAATACTTTAAAATTTGGTGTTCTTGAGGCCTCTGTGTTACCCACTGTATTAAATCAGTCTTGCTGTGTGTTTCCACGTCAATGCTTGGTAGACATTGTTTGAGCTCAAGGTCATCGTGCTTGAAGCTATTCTGAAATTTAGTTTTATTTAGGGTTTGAAGCTGAAATTTTACCTTTAGTAACCCAGAGCAGACGTTTTTATTCAGTCAGCCAGAGCAAGCCCCTCACAGAGTATTGCTAAAAGCTTCCTCAGTGCACACTCCTGCCAAATTCCCCCCAGGTTTTTATTCATAAATTGTGTTTTTAATGTTGGCACATGCTGTCCAGGAGCTGTGAGTAACCATGAAACACACACTGAGACACTAAATTAGTATAACTTCCACTTTTCCTGCAGGTTTCTATATCTACAGTCAGTGCTTAGAATCCTCTTTATTCCCTCCCCTTCTCTACTTCCATTAACTTCCTTATTTTACCTTAGATGTTTTACCAAGAGGTTTGCAAATGTGCTGTGAAGACCTCAAGCGTAGTTTGTTGAAAGACACTGGAGGAAGAGAAGATAAACCTGGCTTGAGGACAGGAGGCCCAACACATTCATCAGTACAAACCTGAGCTTGTGTTTGCCAGGCTTTTAAAGTTCAGCCGTGGCATTTCCCAGCTGACTCAGCCTGCAGTGCCTGGTTGAGCTGGGGATATTCACAGACCGGCACAGCTTTGTCTGTAATCCATAAATAAACTTTTGTGACTTGCGATTTTACAGAGCACAAGTCCAGAAAATGAACTCCCTAGAGTGTATTGTCAAAAACAGCATAGTCTTCCCACGTGTTAGTAGTTTCCCATAATATGCCCTGGGATGTATACCACTGGTTTAGTCACTTCCCAGCCAAAGATACCTTGTTCTTTAGTGATAGTGGAGTTTAGTTTTTGTGAACCTGCCAGTGATTTGATCCTTATATCTCTGTGACTGAAGATTTAGGTAAGTGTCACATTGCCAGGATTGAAGCTTCCTTGTACACATCTGCCCGATAATGTGAATAATGTGAGCATTATGCAATAAGCAGCACGGTGTTGCAGTTGGTTTGAATTAATCAAAGTTTTTGCTGTTAGCAAAAGGGAAATAACTTCTACCCTGTCCACAAATTCCTCCTGCTTGGTCTTCTGCTGGTTCTCACATGTGTGCAAATGTACAAGCAGCTAGATCAGGGAACTCATCTGCCTGAAAACAAATGCTATTTTTGCTGAGTTATCTTTCTTCCTGACTAGTCCTCTAGTATCATGATAGAAACAGATATTCTGAGGCAGAAAAGGTATTTTTTCCCTTTTCTGATAGAACTTAAGTATTGAAATCAATCCCCAATGTCAGCTTTGTGTAGAATTACATTTCATTCAGACTCATATGCAGTCCTCCTGTTTCAAAATAACTCTGTACAGGTTATTTCATAGCCTATTTTTTAATATTTGAAAAATTGAAAGAAGGGTCTCTAGCCAAGTAGATGGTACCTGAGCTTCAGAAGATGTCTGTCCACTGCATAAGTATTTAATTTCTATAGTTCCAGTGTGCTAAAGAACCAGCGGCCTATTTCAATACCAGTGCTGCAGTTTAGTTCAACTTACTTAGCCCTTAAGTACCATGTCTGATTACTTCACTAGACATTAAGACATTATTTAACATAGGTGTTTCTCTGAATTTCATACAATTTTGTTAGATCTACAAACAGTTAGAGAGAATTGCCATGCTTAGGCCATATGTTGTCTCAGTATACGCGCTGTTTTGATGAGCCTCCTCACCCTGTCTTTTCTTGATCTCTAGTATAACATACAAACAGATCAGTACAGAAGTTGTGATAACGTCTCTGCCAAGTCGTCAGATAGCGATGTCAGTGACGTGTCAGCCATTTCCCGAACCAGCAGTGCCTCACGCCTCAGCAGCACAAGTTTTATGTCAGAGCAATCTGAACGCCCGCGGGGCAGAATCAGGTGAGTGCTCAGCACAGCTTCAATGGCATCACACCCCCTCTTCTGTTTAGTGCCAAAATACAAGCAGAAATTACTGAAATTAGATGGCCGCAACATAAAAACTTATGAAAAGAGTTATGTACACATAAACTGTCTTCCATCGCTAGTCTAAAATGACAGTATTTTAGCAGTTGTGCATCTAAAACAGAAAGCAAACTTCCCATAAGGAGATGCAATATTATAGTGTATTTGTGACAAGTGGGACTTGAACACACACTGTCATATAATTTCTGGCTATCAATCACTGTAATCTATATGCCAATAAGGTATTAGAACAGAAATATTACTAGATTTTTAAAATCTACAGAATTTTCTTTCCTGAAAGCTCTTTTTCTATCTATGTATTTATTTCATTTTAATTTTGCTGTTTGCATGCATATGATAAATCACTAGATGTGAAACAACTATTTGTATAGTACTTTTGGTATTGCTGGTTCAAAAGTAGTTTAATTCATTTGCATTATCGATAACCAAATATGTCTTTCATCCTTGATAATAATCTATTCTCAGTTTACTGCTTTTTTAGCTACACAGATTGGTCCCCATCTTCATTTAACTTGATGACAAAACTTATCAGCTATAATGCCATATGACTGGCTTGGTATTCTATGATTACATCTACCAATACCTGAACTCTCAAAAATTTGACTTTAAGTGTTATAAGACACAAGAAGAACTAGGAATTATATTAAAAAAAATATCTCTGTGGAGGAAATCAATCTGATAAAAGGCTGGTTGGCATTGCTCTGAAGTATTAAACACTTCTAGACAGACTCACTATGTGATGAGAAGTTCAGCTGTAGGCTTTTTGATCTGTCCATGCAATGGGAAGGTATGTCAGAGAAACTCTGAAACTCATCTCTAGGTATGAGCTAGCTCCACCTCATATTTCTGAGTATTGAGTAATGAGAGTATTCAGTCATGTTTCAGGTTGGTCAAATTACAACCTGACAGCTGCAGTAATCCACAGCCCAGCAGAACCCTGCAGTGGAACTGTAAATGTATTTAAAGTTATTCAAGTGTTTAAAGTTATTACAATTAATGTGTTTAAATGCTACGTTTTATTGTCTCCTAGCTTTTCAGTATTTGTCTCTTACAGAGGGCTTTAGTCATACCGAAATACCTGTATTTTTTGAGGCATTGAATTTTCTCAAGTAGGCCCTTTCACGGCATCTTCGGCAGATTGAACAAAAATGGGATTTTTCCCATGAATACCTTTGTGTTGAACAGATTTTATCAGAAATGTTCCTTGGGTTCAGAAAGTCTGATCACAAGTACCAGAACCAAGAGCACCTATAACCTCATGTGAGGCTGGAAAGAGGGAAATGTAGGGTTAAATCCTTGCTCTCCTTCAGCCTCTTGCATTCTAATGAGTAGCAGAGCACCTTGGGTACAGGATTAGCCAACCTAGTATACGAAACCAAGTGTCTGCAATGGGAGAATCCATACCTCAGAGATCAGACACTTTATACTTGCTGTAATTTTCTCCAAATTCAGGTAGTACTTCCACAGTGAACAGAATTTATAGTAACAATATACAGTGCAGCTCATTCAGTAGAAATATGAGGGAGAAATTAACAGATTCTAAATTACTCATAACTTTCAATATGTTTCTTTGAAGCTGGCAGTGGTTTTCCTCGCCTGAAAGGCCTGTTAAAATCAGTAGGACATGCCTAATGCACCGTTGTTGCAATTAGCCTGTTCCAACCATTAAGTGCAGCGGAGTGAAATTTAAAATAATTTTGATGTTATGTTGCAAAATATTGTATCCAGCAGATTAACATCCGCTGTTCAAAAATTCTCCCTTTGAGTTGTCCGTGCTTATTTTTGGATGATTGCCTTTCATCACTACGAAAAGGTCGAAGTCTATAGAGATCTCCACAAATGTTGTATCATGGGAACTGGATATCGAGAGAGGTCAGAAGAAAAGGCGAAGGCGTTTTGTTGATGATCTGAGCCAAAGTCAGCTTCATACCCTCCTGTGTCTGTACCGGTAGCCTCTGTCACATAGACTTCAGTCAGTTCTTTGTGTTAGCTTACTTATTACATGGAAATGAAAGCTCATTTGGGGAAAGGGTTGATTGTATTTTTTCAGATATATACTTTAGCCTTAAAAATTACATATCTACAGTGGAATTAACGTAAAAATTAGGCTTTTGTTAAGCTATTTGTCTAACTTCCCTAAGTCATCATTGCAAAGAAGAGCACACCTATTACCTCAGATGGTTCACCTCATTTTTTAATAGATGACAAAGGCAGGTGAATTGTCCTTTTCTAGCACTAACTGTTGAAGAAACCCCAGATGACTAGTTTGGATTGGTTGCTTTAATTTTAGACATCTAAAATTAAGTGAAGTGGATTCTTTCTCTTAATTACTGATGTTTCTTTAAGCTCAAGGAATTAGAAATTTGAAGCTCGAATTTTATTTTTGCCTCCAAGGAACCTTCTGTTAACGTGTATCAAGGGATGGGATGGGATGGGATGGGATGGGATGGGATGGGATGGGATGGGATGGGATGGTTGAGCAGGAGAAACAAGGAAAAGAGCATTTTTTACTTCCTGTCTTACTGAAACCACATATCCACCATCATCTTCATTTGAAAGTGTGTCAGCCCTGTGGCCATGGGAAGTGTGTGAGTGTCATGTTAAGTTTAAAGACAGTGTTCATTGAACTGCCTTTTTTGTTCTCCAGATACCCTCTGGAGATGAGAGCTATGAAGAACCTAGTAAGCATACAGAAACTCAAAGAAATGGCCCAGTTCTAGCCATGTCACTAAATTAAGTCATTCAGCTAGTATCCTTAGGTGCCTTTTGTATCCAGAAGCAAAATTACACAAATTCAGAATACACAACCAGTATTCCTGATCTGCATCACCTTTGGAAAGGGTCTCTCCATCTCTTTTTCCATTGAATAGAGAAAAATGAATCCTAGAGCTGTTGACCAGCAAGCAGTAAATAAAGGGAGAAATGTGGCTGGAGAGTACACCAGGGTTCAGATGAGTAACCTGACATGAAACTGTGCTCCTCTAACATTTCTACATGAGCTGAAAAACACTGCTTTGTTATTCATATTAAGAGATGTGGTGTCAAGTTTCTGGATGTGAAGTGTGCCAGCTAAAAACAGCAGGAGTTTTAGTTAATGTTGTAAGTCAATATAACCCCATCATCCCTCATATTAATCCGTCTGTGAAAAGAGATATAAATTAAGCTCCTAGGCATAGGAAAATACAAGATACTGTCCTCTTTTGTTATTTTTTGTTATCATATTGTACAAAATATCATTACTTTTAAGTGTCAGGACTGACGTTTCAGGTCATAGTGAGTGTTGTTTATATCCACTAACCTCACTGCCAGTCCTGCCAGCCCAAATTCTAATGGAGGAAAGATCCTTACCTAAATCTGGCTAATGCCTTTTCCCTATCAATCAAGGCAGAATCGATCTCTCTCTCTCTCTATCTCTCCCTCAGTTTTGAAATTTGAAATTTTATAATTTCAGACAGTGTATTCTATGTTATCCTATATATTTAAAGCAGTAAAGATTTTAAAACCTGGAATCACAGGATAAAACTAATTGGTGCAGAACAACACAAATACTGTGCATCTTATCTTATCTGAATAGCAGTACTCCAGCTATTCTTTGGGTCAAAACTCGCAAATTTAAAGTTTTGTAGTATTAGGGAACTTGAGCATGTTGAATTTAGTAATACAGAGAGAATGAAAGCAAATCTTCCCTTTCCTTTAATCAATGACAAGAGTGTGTCTAAACGTTTCAAAGGAGATGACTAATTTCATTCCTACAATATATTTGTATTGTATTGCCTGTCAGAACGCTATGACACAGCATGCATGGAAAATACCATTCGTTATTCTTCAGCCTGGAGATTTGTGGAATAATCCACACTTCTTACAGGTTCAAAGAGGAAATTACGATTGATGCAAGTTCTAAGTATAAAAAGTCTATAAAATAGCTTCTTAATTACTAATTTTTTCGGCATTTTCAGATGAATGTTATAACAAATGGCTATGTGTGGATAAACTAGTCTGAAGTTATTCCAGACATCTTTCTTGTTACCATCCTGGGAAGTCTGTTTGACCCCCATGCTCTCTAGTGGAAGTGCAGGCAAATACCAGGAATTTTTTTTTCTGGGAACAAAATGTTCTGGACCTTCTGACTTGAGTGAGAATCAGACTTGTGAATTTGGCTCACTGTAGCATTTGGAGTTGGATTTGTATTTCATGCCTGAAGTCAGATAACCACTTCTTCCTTACAGAGATTTTCTTTAATCAGTCATGGTCTTTATGCATTCATAACACAGTCAAGCAACACTTTGATCTCATGCATGCTACAGATGTTCCTGTATATGACTCAAGACCACTTCTCATATCCTAAATGACGCAGAAGGAATTTATTCTCAGTTCAATGCAAGTAAGAATCCATGTTAAATACATTAGGATCAATCAGCACACTTTATGGGCTTGATCAGCCAAAGAAGGACATCCGCTCACTTCATTAAAAATTATGCCAAATGATGGCATTGCATCATTTTTCATTAAGGGTCTGCTTGTGCAAAGATACTTGGACTTCTTGGTGATATCAAGAAGTTTTTCATTAAGGGTCTGCTTGTGCAAAGATACCTGGACTTCTTGGTGATATCAAGTAGGGAACTGTGATGCATAGTAAAGGTGAGCTGGAGGCTTCTTTTTTGGAGGATTTAGCAAGTTGGCTACCATGAGATATTTCACTTAAATCTGATTGAACAAAATCTGCTAAATATATGAAAGACTAGATAAGTACCTTTAAGCCGAATTTCTCTCTCAGTGCATCTGGATTTCAAACAAATTGCATTAGGAATATCACTGTTATTCTTCATTTTAAATTTGAAAACCACATCTTTATTAAGAATTGTATTGAGTATCTTAATTAATGTGTGATATAATTATCTGCACCATATTTTAATCTG